GGAGAAAACAATGGATGAGTTACTAGGAGATCAGGCTTTGGAAATGCCCTTGCTGTTAGAATCTTCTTTGAAGAGGTCTTCCTAAGCAAAGGATAGTTCCAAGGGAGGGTTTTTGTTCTTTTCCTATCGTTCCCATACTAATCTCTTTCCTGTTCTTTTCTGCTTCCCTCATAAATACTTCATCTCCCTATTCTAGAAGCCTTTGTGGAATCCGTAATGGACAAGTATCAATAAGCTGAGGACAGCATGCCAAGCTGCATGTCTACCTCCCTAGTGAAATCCAGGACTGCCAACCAGTGGAAGCCACAGAGCTGGGCTTGAGGACATACCACTTATTTTTGGCTTTTTCTTTCCAATCCTGATTGATCTGTTTGTTTGATGTGTCCATTTCTTTGGCATCCTCTTGAATGCCGTCAACATACTTCCATGGTTTTTACAGGGCAGAAGCACATGAAGTTTACTCCTTTACTTTGATTTCCCAAGAAGCCAGTTATTCAGACAGCCCTGGATCAATCACCTTTGTTGGAAACAGGTGGAAAATTTGATTAATTCTGTGGGGAGTGCGGAACCTAGGGTTCCCCGCTTTACTGGTTTGGTTTCTTTTTATTTCAGTCCTTTTTCTGGCAGGCAGCTCAGTCGATGCACCATCCATCAGCTTTAAAGACATCTGTTCATCTATATATAGGCTGCCTGCACAGACCCATTTAGAAACAGATGATACATTAAATTTGTGGAATTCAGTAACAGTGAAAGTATAGACTCGTGCATGTACACAAATAGGTATTTCTGTTTAGTTTTTATCCACGTGGGGAGTGGAGAGGAAATCTGAGTATAATGAATAGAAAGATTTTGTCGAATTCCTACTCTTTTGAATCTCCTTGGTCTAGCACCGTCGAGGAGTGTAGCCATCTGAAACTAGTGCCCGGTACTCCTTGGTTATGGTGGATGTACATTAAATGTGTGGCCTCTGCAGTGTACCCCTGGCTGGAGTACCTTCTGTAGTGGACCCAGCACATGTGGCTCTTATGCTGTGTACGGAAAGTGAGTTATTAAATGGTTTCTTCTCAAATGAATAATCCCTCAACTGATGAATTACTGAATGCTACATCTGAAACAAAGGATGTTAGTTATGTTGGCTAATTGGATTAAAAATAAATAAAATGAATAATCCCTGCATTCTGGAAACATAAAGGCATTTCATTTAGAGTGTTTAGAATTAAGAGGAATTGAGCTAGACTAAGTAAAGCAGAAATTCATATGTATCTATTTCTTTGTAGTTGAAAGTTTCAGAAGTGGGGTCCTTGCATCTATACACAGCCAAACAGATCAATTCCAAAGTACAATGATGTAGAGGCTGACAACGATCATTTAGAGTTTACTGCCTACGTCTTTTTTTCTTTTCCTCCTTATAAACGTTGTTTGAGTTAGCAGGAGAGGGTTTGGCAGTGTGTAAAGTACATGCCTGCAGTCAGGTTGTAGCAATACCCCAAGATACTACTGATAAAGGGTGAATTCTATTATGTGAATGCAGAACTTGGTCGGATTTCAGATAAGCACGGAGTTGGGAGTTCACTGCTGAGAGGGCACAGGATAGAATTTCAGATAACTGAACTTTAATTTCATTTAGTTTTACAGATGGAAAGATTTGTTAGATAAGCCTTCCTCTTTGAGCTAGACCTGTTGAAAAACAAAGGCTAAATCAACCTTTACTGTGTTCTCATAAAAAAACTTGAATCATAGTCTTAAATGTTTGCTCTCATGAGGCAATAAGCTTTTCAGTCAAGAAGTTTGCATAACACCCCTTATGCCTCTATCTGTAGATGGGTTATTTAGGAGGTCTGCTGATTGGTATTTCAAAATTATTTTTGGATAATGGCCAGAGTTTTCATTAGTTATTGTTTCTTTGAAGTGTTCAGACTTACTGCATTGTATTTAGGTTTCTCTGTTCTCAGAAATCAAATCAATTTGTTATATTTAATTGTTTTCTAATAACTCATATTACACTGGGCTTTAGGAACACTATATATAGGGGCACCTGGGTGGCTCAGTAGGTTAAGTATCTGCCTTCAGCTCAGGTGATGATCCCAGTGTTCTGGGAACGAGCCCTGCATTGGGCTCTCTGATCAACGGGGAGCCTGCTTCTCCCTCTGCCTGCCGCTCCCCCTGCTTGTGCTCTTTCTGTCAAACAGATCAATAAAATCTCAAAAGGAAAGAAAGAGTACATATAAAAGATGACAGATATTTTCCCTTTCTTCCTCTTATTTTCCTTCCTCCAAGGAGGCATATGGCATAGTATTAAGTGCCCCACACTGTAGAATCACAAAGGGCTGGGTACGAATTCTTATGCCCCCACTTTTGAGCTGTGTGACCCAAGGCAAAGTTTTAAAGGTCTGATCCTTAGTTTCTTTATGTGTAAAATGGAGATAATAATTGTATCATCCTCATAGGGCCCCCCTTTTTTTAAGTTAAAAATGTGTTAATCCCTTAACACTGGGACTGACACATAGTGACATTCAGTGACTCCTAGAAATTAACTATTTGCATTTTATTGTTATTATTAGTGTTGCTGCTAATCTGTGGTTCTAATTTATCTGAAATCACATTTGTAGGTTAGTTTAAATTTATTTTACTAAGTATCACTCAAACTTCTTTCACCCTGGCCTGAACCACATCCTTTTTCCTTAGTCCCTTTGTCTATCTCAGCAGAGAACCAACCCAGGTGCCCACATTCCATGCCTGTTGTCTCGGCAGCACAGGCTGCAGAAGACCCTAAAGAAGCAGAGAAGTAAGAATCCCATGTTCTGGAATCAGAATGTTTAGGTTCAAATTCTGTTGTACCTCTTATTAGTGGGATAATCTTGGGTAAATTACTGGATCACTCTGGGCATTATTTTTCTACCTGTAAAATGGGATTAGTAATGTCCATGTCTTTCCATAGGTATGTTAGATTAAATGAGTTAAAATATGAGAGTACACAGAACAGTGTCTGGCACTGAGCACATCGTCTATAAAACGTTAGCCACGAGTGTGTCTGTTGTTTTATCCATTTATTCTGCAAGTCTTTGCTTTTAAGTGTTAATTTGTAAAAATAATAGTAAAAGTTATAACTTCCTGATAAGATCTCTCTGAGTGTATTACCATTTTGAGATACAGTTCAGTTAAGAAACAGTTATTAAATACTTACTGTGTATTGAGTGTATATGGAGGACATATATTAATAAGGTATATTCTCTGCCCTCCAGGAGTTTATAAACTGGTAGGAGAGATGAGCTATATTCAGGGGGTAACTATTACACAGGGTAAAATACGACTATACTTTCTTTATTTTATTTTTTTATTTTTTTTTTAAGATTTTATTTTTTTATTTATTTTGACAGAGATCACAAGTAGGCAGAGAGGCAGGCAGAGAGAGAGCAGGAAGCAGGCTCCCTGCTGAACAGAGAGCCCGATGCAGGACTCGATCTCGAAGGCAGAGGCCTAACCCACTGAGCCACCCAGGCGCCCCACGACTATACTTTTTAGAACGGATGAACAGTAGCTCACTGGAGGTCTAGAGTAGTTCTGCATGCGTGGGAGTCAGGAAGGTAGGTGAAAAGTGTAGGCATTTCCAAGTGAGTGAATAAACAGTGGGGCCGGTACATGGTACCTGAGGAAGAGTAGTTGGACGGGCTTGGCGGGGGCACTCACCGCGGGAAGGGTCCTCCACAAGTAAAGTCGCGAGCCAGGAGGCTGTCTGTGCAACATGGCGAGGCTGTGGCGCCAGAAACTTGGTAAGAGGAGGAGCATGAGGGAGGTGGAGGAGTCGAAGGAGCCTCAGAAACCTTAATACGAGTTTGAGGGTGGGGAGGTGCAGGGATTGCAGATCGTGATTCCATTTTTTAAAGAGATAAGAAGGATGGAAAGTGGGTTGGGTTTTTGGGAGAAAGAGCTTCTGCTTTGGACCCACTGACTTTGAGATGTATTCGGGACCCTAGTTATGGTTCCGCCCTTCCTGGAGGCCTTCTTAAAAACTGCTCTAGGAGTGGAAAAGGCAGGTAACCTAAGATAATAGGATTCCTGTTAGATGCAGGTGTCCCTCAGATGTGACTTGCAGAGACCTTATAATTGAAGACTTAGCACATCAACAGGCTTTCCCTGGCTCCTAACCCTCCTTCTCTGAATGTTTGCTCAGTTACTTAGCTTGTATACAGGCCTTGCCATGGTCATTCCGCATGGTATGCGGTGGTAACGCCCTTTACGTTTGATTGGCATTTGAACTAGAGATCACATACTTTTAACTTTAGAAAAGTTCTTTCAGGTGTTTGGTTAGGTAGTGCTGCCAGAGTGGAAACGGGAGACATACTCGTCACCCTCCCCTGTCCCGGGTGCGCTCTGACTCCTGTCGCTTGGTGGTTTCACCCCAACAGGACAAAGCTCTACGTGAACAGTGAGAGGAAGAAAGAGTTATATTGATGGTAAAATGGTTTCTGGTATAGAGAAATGAATTGTTTAGTGAAAATAGGTGTAATTTTTAGGTACAAAAGACAAGATTTTGCAGATAACCTGTACTTCCTCATCTGTGTGAGCACGGTATCATTCACGACACTCACGATGGTAAACTCGTGCTGCCAGGAAGACCGTGCAGAACATCTAGAAAGCTTTTCCTGCTGGGTGTTGGTCCTCATTATATTTCCTTTGAGTTAAGAACTTGTGTTTTTTTAGTCTTTGGAGGAGGATACAGTGTTGTAGGAGGTTTTGAGCAAGAGACAAGACTTGGGTACTTTGTGGATTGTTATCGCCCTGCAAGACCCTTCGCAACTTCCTCTCGCCGCCCACAGCAGAATACGGAAACCCTGCTGTATCAGGCCACTTCTGCAATTTCAGACCGTCACGATTAAAGGGATCCTTCTTTCACACTACACCCTTCTGTTCTGAGACTCTCTTTGTATTTGAAAATGTGTCTTTTATGGTGGAATGCCCAACTGAGCCTCGGTCTCTCCTCTCTCTTTGCCGCCCTGCAGTGCTGCAGTTGAAGCTCCAGCAGCGCCGGACGCGAGAAGAACTGGTGAGCCAAGGGATCATGCCGCGTAAGTGCCTCTCCCTCGCGCTCCGCGCCTGCTGGAGCTCGGGGTCCATAGCGCGTGTGTGCCTGCTGTGCTGTGGGCCGCATCTAACAGAAAACAGGGGCGACAGGTTTCATTTGTCCCTCTCTTACTTGTGCTTTTCCAAGTTCAAGGACTTTTCGATCGCTGAATGCTATGATACTGCGCATATTAAGTTCAGTGAAACAGACGGTGCTGGGTTGAACGGTGCAGTTGAACCATCCTCCCCTTTTGAATTGCTCCTTTCAGGAGTTTCTGCTCCCTGTTACCCTCACTTCCCTTTACAGGAGGAGTACATCTTGAGCTGGGGTATTGTGAGAAAGAACCCACATCTTGCATGTGTTTTGCCTTTGTGTTCAGGTTCTTGGGATGAGAAAACCCTTTTCCACTTGGTGTTTTGAATCAACTGCAGTTTTATTTAGAGTGAGATTCTCCGATCCCTGCGGCTGGCTTGGGTGTGAGTGTGCTTGGTGGGGTTCCTGCTGAGCTGGGCATAGTAGGTGCACAACTACACTTGGGGAGAAATGAAAGCAACACTGGAATCTCTTAGAAGTAAGAAATTTTGTTTTTAATACCAGTAGCATTATAAACTGAGTGGATGCTGGAGCCACCGAGAGTGAGATGTTGCACTTTTTGACATTTCTTTTGAAGTCATCAGCAGAGAGCTTAGGCTCTCCCTCTTCTTTCTTTTCTCTTGAGCGTTGCTGCTACTTGGACACACCCTACAAAGTGAAAAAAAAAAAAAAGTACTGCAACAACTTCTAGCCTCAGAGTGAGAGAACCGATGTTTTTCTCCTTAACTCAGTGCTGACCTACTGCCACTGTGTTTTCCTAATCCTCATTCACTTACTCATGAAGAGTATTTGAGAACCTGGTGTGTGCCCTTGATGCAGCAAGAAAAATCGAACTCCTGCCCTCAGGAGTTTTATGTTTAAAAGGAGCGTAGTGATAATAAACAAAGAGACAAATAAGATACTTTCAGAGTATGGTAAATGTTAAAAAGTAAATTAACCAGTTGGCCTATTAACAAGAAATAGGAATGAGATGGGGTCTCTTTGGATAGGGCAATCAGGAAAGGCCTCCCTGAGGAGGAAATATTTGAGCTGGGGTCTAGAGGATGAGGTGGAGTCAGCCATGCAGAAGCAGGCAGAGGGTCAGGGAGAAGCGAGAACAAATGTAAGCGCCCAGCGCAGGTAAGAACCTGACAAGTTTGAAAACATTAAGGAAGTGGGTATGGCTGGGGCCTAGTGAGTGAGGGGAGCCTAGGCCAAGTTAAGATCCGCAGGGTGGGCGGGGCTAGGATGAGGGCTTCTCAACTATGGGAAGAGGTAGATTTTATTTTAGGTACAGTGGGAAGCCTTCAAGCCTTTAAGCAAGTGAGAATGGGATTTGATTCATGTCGTGGTGATGGCAGGTCTGTTTCTATGGGCTAGAACTGTATTGCAGGTGGAAGAAATGTGAGGTCCGTTTTAATCCTAAGCATCAGCCAGGAACTTAAGTCTCAAATTCAGCTTTTTATTTACTGCAGTTAACTTCCAAACCATTTACCCACATTATGCTGCTGTCTTCTCTGGCTTTCCAGTGAAGGACTTCCCACCCGCAGCCCTAAAGAATCAGATAGAGCGACTGCTTGTGCGGTGGGTCAGTGATGTGATCAGGTAGGGCGCTACTGTGCTTTACAGAGCACTCCAGATCTGCCTCGATAAACCCTTCTGGAGGAACAAGTCACCCAGACTCTCATCTCCTTGTCCCTTTCACCAGGGACATCATGTGCTTAATGTCTACTTTGTGCCCAGGGTAGTTAGTCCTGGAGAGATTAAAGAAATATCAAGCAAGGTACCTGCCCTCAGACATTTAACAGTTTATTTGAGTAGCTAAAATTTATCCATATATAAAATAAAGAGCACTTCAGCATCCTGTGGGGGTGCTGACTAATTACAGTACTAGTTCTGAGAGCATAACGCTATTTCTCAAGATCCGGGAGATGTTTAGGGTCTGAAAGCCTTTCAGAGAGGATGAGGGCCCTGCATTCCTGTGCCTGTCTCATACTTGGTACCAGGGACTACTAGAGCTCACTGCTTTCACTCCAATTGATAGAGTATGGTCTCCTTGCTCAGCATTTCTTGTCGTGTTCTGTGTTGTTTAAAGACAGGTGATGCTTCCGTTACTGGAGTCACCTGCTTATACATTTCCCTCCAGTCATACTCTGAGCTCCTTGAGAAAGTGTCTTATCCAGAACTGGGCACTGAATGAATGACTCAGGACAGCCGGTTTTAAAGTGTGATATGTGTGTGTGTATGTGAATGACAGACAGACAGGAACAGATACAACTCTCTTGCAAACTTGTTGGAATTCTAGACATGGAATTTGGAACAATGCTTCTGTTCTGTTAGAAGCCCAGATTCTAAGATGTTCTGAATACCTGATTGTATCCTCTGCACTGTTCTCTGTATCTGTGAAATTAGAGTAGCTGCCCTTCCTATAGGAACAGGAATTACCTGCTTCCGTGAGAACACCACATCTTCCTCCTACCAAAGGGTTGCCTTCAGCTACGGACACAGTAGTGGTTTTCAGCTTTTCTAGTGAAGGAAGTAGGTCACAAACTTAGATACTGAGAGATTGTTAATGCCTGGCAATAGTTTCAGGTGTCAAATTCCCTGATCATCTACATACCAGGTGATACATGGATAGGGTCCTGAGGTTCTCCCCTCCGCCCTGCCGTCAGCCCTGCACCCTGTGAGTAAATTCTTCCTCATCACAGCCCTGCACTCTCTACCCTTATCCTGTGGTAGACTCCAACACCCTCGGCCACCCTGACCTCCCCACCACTTGCCATCCTCCGCTAGCCCCACCTCTCACCCTCCATGCCACAGCCTCCAAAGAAAATAGAGCAGGATTGGAAGCAGATTGTAAGTGACCAGCAAATTGTTGATTGTTGGAGATTTGGAGGCCTGAAAAAGTGACATCTGGTTCGAAGGGTCCGTTTCCATTCCCATCTTGCTGGCCTGAGGGGTTTCTCTAAAGTGCATTTATACATAAGTTTGTTGTACAACTGAGGAAGTAGGTACGCCCTTGAACTGTTGGAAGGGAGTGATGTAGTCATGGCTGTATTCTGCCTCATCATTTCTCTGTTTATATCTTTTATCAAATTCTTCTCATTCCAGTCTTATTTATAGCTCTGGGAAGAAAACCCACCCACCTCATCTTCCAGAATACTCCTACACAGTTCCCATGTAGGACTGGCTTTCAGTTCTTACAGCATAATCTGTAGGACACCATGTCTTCAATGGCTCCCTTACCTTCAGGGTTGTTCGTGTTCTGCATATCGTTCAGAGCTGAGGTATGGCCTTTCATAAAGTGCAGGGGATTAAAGCATCTCCCAATTCCTACATACCCCTCTCTGCTGCTTGATATGCTCTGCTCATGGCATCTAAACTATGGGGTATGGAAGTTAGTTTCTGATGTGTTTTTAAACAGGATCATTTCCCAGCATCTGTCACTCTCCTCATGTAAACATGTGTCTCAAATTTAATACTATATAAACCCTACCAAATACAGAGTGGCAGATAGCAAAGGATTACATATGCCAGGCCCTGAGCCTTCTTTAATAATGTCTGAAGCTCTGCATATCTTGAGAGAGATGAAAGATGGCACAGATAGGAAGCTTGTGCTTAAGTCCAAGATTAAGACCAGAAATGCTGCTGTAGCCAGAGTGAAGATTCATAGAAAACACGGGTCATGTGTGGTACACTCTGTTCTCAAACAGAGCTTTCCCCACAGCCTTTCTCTTTGACATTTAAAGGTGTACTAGGTCATAAGGTTTAGGTGAAAATGAAGAAAATGTTCTGCGCACTGCTGTAGAGGAATAACCTTTTTTAGGAAAACATTGAAGTTCTTCTGACCCAGACAAATGAGAAAAAAATCTCTTTTAATCTTTCTGGATTTAAAAGAAGAACGTTGTCTGTCTCTTCCTTCTCAGCCTTCTGTTATTCTCTTGTGAGTCCTTGAGAAAAGCGTAGAGTTGCATGTTTCTGTGCTATTGTGAACCCTCAGTTCACTGTTTTTCCGTGTGTGTAGTGGAAACACCTTGGCACCTTGGCAAGCATGTGAAGAAATCATTAGTTTTGTCCAGTAGATTCTCTGAGGACCTTGGTCCATTGCTTGAGTGAGCTTGTTTTTTGTTGTTATTGTTGTTTTTGTTTTCATTTTAAATGGCGTTTTTGTGCACCAAGTGGGTGTCATTGGTGACCTTAACCACCGAATAGTTAGAAGAATCCAAAGAGTATGAGGGCATCCCAGTTCAGAGAGGGCAGCCAGTTGCTGTCAATCCAGAAGACTCACAAACAGCCTAGCCCCTGAGAGGTACTCAAATGTGTTGCTAGGTGAAAAAGTGAACCAGTTGGTCAGCTAGTTTTGACTGGCTTGTAGGTATGCAGATAGGTGTTGCATATCTCAGATTGAATCTGTAAAGAATAGCTTTATGTAACCTTATGTAATGAATCCCCACCACTCTGTATTTTTTTTAATAGTTGAAATTCCACATCTTTCTTTTTTTTTTAAGATTTTATTTATTTATTTGACAGCAAAGATCACAAGTAGGCAGAGAGGCAGGCAGAGATAGAGAGGGGACGCAGGCTCCCCACTGAACAGAGAGCCCGACGTGGGGCTCGATCCCAGGACCCCGGGACCATGACCTGAGCCAAAGGCAGAGGCTTAACCCACTGAGCCACCCAGGCGCCCTATCACTCTGTATTTTTAATAAACTTGGCTGTATCTTGACTCCCTAACCCTTAGTTCTGCAGTCTGATCCCTCCTTTGTCACGTTTCAGCTGTCATTGTTAGCTCAGTGATCTATGTAGAGACAGTGTGGCCCAGTTGTAGCACTCATGGCTAATCTGTCATTTTACAGGGCCCCACAGTTAGCTGGAAACCTCCTGTTCATCTGATTATAGCAATCTCTGCACCAAGAAGAAATTTATTTTAAA